GCATGAGTGTGGATGCAGAAGAAAGGTTGGTGTGTTTGCAGCCTGACTTGCATACGAGAACCGACTGGGGTGCTGGGAATCCTCCACTTTTGTGGTGGGAATAGATGTGATGTGGGTACAGCAGGTATGGGATACTAAGAGCAGAGATCAGATCACGATCAGCTCTGAGACCCCAAAAGTTTCTCCCAATGGTTGGTTGTTGGGCCCTGATGAGTTTTTATGGGCCTGGTTACGACTGGAAGGTCTACTTTGTTTTATTTCATTACAATCTGTGTGTGTGTGTGTGTGTGTGTGTGTGTGTGTGTGTCGTTCAGTTGTGTCCAACTCTCCAATCCCATGGGCTGTAGCCCATCAGGCTCCTCGGTCCATGAGGATTCTCCAGGCAAGAATACTGGAGTGGGTTGCCATGCCCTCCTCCAGGGGATATTCCCGATGCAGAGATCAAACTTGGGTCTCCTGCATTGCAGGCAGATTCTTTACCATCTGAGCCACCAAGGAAGCCCCCCTTAAACCCCTCCCCATTTCCAGGCTAAGCCCTTTGGAGCAGCATATCTGACCCTCTGCCCATTGGTCCTTCAGAATGAGGCCCTGAGAAGACCACAGTGTTTATAAAAAGGCTTAAAAAGCATTACTGTCTTTTCAAGGAACTCTATGCTTTGAACTTACCAAAATGTATACAGAATTGTTTCTAATTTAGCCTTCACTTGTATGGATAGAAGCTGAGTACAGAGGGAAGAATTTTTATTAGTCATGTAGTAGTAGTCTTTAAAAATATATAATCATTTTATTGCACTTCACTATTGTGCTTCGAAGATACTGCATTTTTAATGAACTGAAGGGTTGTGGACCTGTGACAGCAAGTCTACTACTGGCACCATTTTTCCAAGAACATTTGCTTATTTTGTGTATCTGTGTGACATTTCAGTAATTCTTGCAATATTTCAAACTCTTTCATTATTATTATATTAGTTATGGTGATATGTGGTCCGTGATCTTTGATGTTATTGTTACAACTGGCTGAAGGCTCAGATGATATCTACTTTTCAATTAAGGTATGTATGTTATTTTTTTTAGATATAATGCTATTGCATACTTAATAGACTACAGTATAGTGTTGACGTTACTTTTATATGCACTGGGAAACCAAAAAATTCCTATTGACTTGCTTTATTGCAGTGGTCTGGGCCTGAACTTGCAGTATCTTTGAAGTCTGCTTGTACTTTAAAAAGTAATACAGAAAAAATAAATAAATAAAAAGTAATACAGGCTTTCTTTAAAAGAAAAAAAAAAAGCAAAATAAAACTGTACAGAATTCTGTGAAATTAAGAAGTGCTAGAGTCCTTCCTTCCCTGGCCCAACTAAAGAGCAGCTGCTATTGACAAGTCTGGTGTGTGTTCTTTTAGAATATACATACAGAAATGTGTGTTTACTTTTTGTTTTGAAATGTAAATGAAACAATTCTATGGACTCCAGCACAAAAGCAACAAATGAATACTCAGTCTGTAGGTTGCATTTCCCAGTCACATTCAGTTCACAAGTGTCTGGGAGAGGGTCTCTAAGCCCTTTTCTAGCCTGAACCTCAGCACGTGCACAACTACTGTTTCTGCAAACACAGCAGTGGTGCCTATCAGGCCAACACCCATTATCCAGTTCCTGGACCTTGAACTGTTCTTTTTCCTCAGCCTCTAGCACAGCACCTTGCCCATTCCAGGAGCTTTAATCTGTATCTGTTAATAACATTCATTTAAACATCACATGGTTCATTAAATTAGCAGAACCTACAAGTATTAAGGAACTGGGTAAGGTGACCAAGAGTATCCACTTAGTTGTCTAATGACTTAGATGCCTCCTCTTGAAAATGGAACTGTTTTCTCTCTTTAAGGGGTTGGCTAAGGGGCTTACTTAGGTGAGCTCCTCTGGCTAAATGCCTCATTGGAATCCAGCCATGAAGTTCAGAGCAATGGAAGAAAGCACTGACAGTACACAACGTCAGATGTTCTCTTAAGCATATGTTGGTGGTTCGCTTACCCTAACAAAGTGGTGACCTAGTTTCCCGCAGAAAGTCAGGAATCAATTCTGTCTTCCTTTCTGCTTCAGAATCCTAGCACTGACTGCCATTTATTAAACGTCTGACCTCAGAGGAGTCTCTTAAGCTTCAGTTTCTTTGTGTGAAACTAAAAAAGGATCATTAAAAAACCTGTGTTTGTACAGTCATTTGAAGAATTGAACACGGTGACCTTTGTGCGATTGAGAGTCAGGCTTGGAGGAGTCAGAGCACAGTGACCAGATGGCCTCGGCTGCAAGACCTGCTCTGCCAGTGTCAGTTGGATGACCCCAGGCAGATGACTCAGCCTCTCACTAGTCCCCTGTTTCTCATCTATAACCTGGGGACATAGCTGGATTATTTTCAAGATTAAGTAAGATCATGTGTTTAGCGAGGTCCTTGGCACTGACAGTGAGTTGAATGAATAGTTACCATGATTATTCTAAATGTGGGCCCACCATGAAACTTTCTTTTCTCTTCGTCCCCTTCATCCTTCCCTTTGACTCGTCTAAATAACCCAGAGCAGGATTCCAGAGCTCTGCATTGCTGGGTTAGGAAACTAGAGGCTGAAAGACTGAAAACTGCATGCTGCCAGGGACTGAACTGTATTCTCCGCAAATCTGAGGGTTGAAGCCTTAATACCCAATATGACTGTAGTTTGAGATGGGGTCTTTAGGAGGTCATTAAGGTTAAGTGAGGGGCTTCCCAGGTGGTGATAGTGGTAAAGAACCCACATGCCAACGCAGGAGACATAAGAGACTTGTGTTCGATCCCTGGCTCGGGAAGATCCCTTGGAGGAGGGCATGGCAATCCACTCCAGTATTCTTGCTTGGAGAATCCCCACAGACAGAGGAGCCTGATAGGCTATGGTCCATAGGGTTGCAAAGAGTCAGACATGACTGAAGTGACCTTAGCACGCACACGCACAAGGTTAAGTGAGGTCATAATGGTGGGCCCTAACCCTATAGGACTGTGGCCTTGTAAGAAGAGGAAGAGAGAAACTTCCCTCTCCCCTCTGTGAGCAGATAGGGAGAAGATGGCCATCTGCATGCCAAGAAGCGAACCCTCTCCAGAAATCAACCCTGCTATACTTTGATTTTATACTTTCAACCTCCTGAATTGTGAAAGAAAAATATATTTCTGTTGTTTAAGCTGCCCAGACTCTGGTATTTTGCCACGGTGGCCTGAGCAGACTAAGACACCTGGCTTCCTTGAATCTTCAAACTGGCTGTGGAATTATTTATTTTTAACAAGTTTATGACTCCTCTTCCAAGCAGCGTCTTACAAGTAGGGGATGTTGCTGAAGCTACATGATCTTTTGGATATAGAAATAGTATAATAAATTAAGTCAGGTTCTTAATTTCTTATCAAAAGGACATATGCACCAACATGAAAAGGCTCAATGGCCAAAGAGGAGATGACTGTAGTATCAAAGAGCATAATGATTTAAACTGACAAACTGAACATGTAAGTTCCTGAGTGCCCCATCCAGCAAACCAACAAGTAACTGATTACTGGTGCAGGTACGTAGGGGATCAACTTCTATTCTGAAAATGGCGACAAAAGGGAAAGAAGCATTTTGGCTTGTCTTTTGGAGTCAAACTATATATATCAGGGTAACTAAATAGCCCCAGTTGATAAAGTTCTGCTTTATAGAAGAATTATAGCTGGTATATTTGGAACTCGGGAGATATTTAGAGACTTACCATTTTGCAATCTCTACTTAATTAATGATTACTAATATGAAAGCACTACATGAAAGGTTGATGTGGGTCTTTACAATGAAAAGGAATGGCTGTTACTACGTAAACTCACCAATTGATTGTAGGATCACTGAAAGTGAGACAGTACACGTCTCCTGAAATGATGGAATGGGGAGGATATGGTACGGCTTCTAGTCCCTGAAAGTTAGTGCTCGTTTCCAGTTTGCAAGAAATACAGAGGCTAAAACAACCATTGAGGCAATAGCATGAGGAAGTAGACAGACAAGTCTTTCTACATGACGACTGACTCAATTTTTTCAACAATCAATGACATTGGGAGGGGGAAGGGATATGAAGCATATCTACCAGCTATAATGTGTGCACTTTGTTTATATCCTGATTTGAATAAACCAACTGTGAAAAGACACTTTTGAGCTACTGAAAGCAGCTCAAAATGGACTGGGTGTCCATCTTGAAACCAATAAATTGCCATTACTATCAATTTTGTTTGATGGGTTGCTAATGATGTTGTGGCTGCATGAAAAAAAAGTCTATCTTCTTAAGAGATCTATCTCTAAGTACATAAGGTAGAATAACCTGATGGTTGGGTTTTCTTTAAAATACTTCATACATGGGAGGAAAAAATTGGGAGACTGGGACTGACATATACACACCATTATATAAAAATATATAAGGACCTACTATACAGCACAGGGCACTCTGTAATGGCCTATATAGGAAAAGAATCTGAAAAAAGAGTGGATATGTGTATATGTATAACAGATTCATTTTGCCGTGCAGCAGAAACTAACACAACATTGTAAATCAACTATACTCCAATAAAAAGAAAAAACACAGCTAAGTTATAACTGCAAAATAGCCCCTAAAACTTCACACACAAAAGATATTATATTGTATGGGGATAGATGCACACATAGCAAAGGCTTGATAATTACTGGCCTTAGACAACAGGCATGTGAGGGTTCATAATACTGTTCTTTACACTTCTGACATATTTTATTATTTTATTTTAAAGATTAAATAAGTAGCTATCTTAAAACAAAATCTGAACAGAAGTTGAAAAAATTCATTTGCGTTATACTGTCATTTGAAAACAAATGTGAAACTATGTCTGGGCAACTTCTCAAATAAGAATGTTCTTACCCACCCACATGAGTTCTTTTGTGTCTTTTGAGTGTACCACTGTGTATTTATTGCCACTTAATTTCCACATTGTTAAAAGATACATTTACCTGTTTTCAATAATCATTATGTTGGAGGGGGGAATCCCCAGAACATCACAGCTCTGCAAGAGTTCCTTCTTACGGATCTCCCCTTGATTGTAGTAATTTCCTGAGGATAACAAATACATGGTGGTCGATTTCTTTATCAGTGGAGATCTACTGTCCACTCATTCTCATCTTGTTCCCAAAAGGATTTAAACTATCTGAAAATTTTGTGGTTGTGATAAAAGTTGGAGAAACACAACACTAGGGTTACTGTCAGACATACCTGTGAAGCACGATCTTTATAATCACCATTGAATTCCTCTCCATTTCTGTCTATCCATATGTCTGTCTGTCTGCCAGTCTGTGTTTCAGCTGCATGCTACAGGCTTTTCGTACTGGCTCTGCAGTTAGCAGATATAGGACTGACTCTTCCGTAACCACTCAGAACAAGTAGGGTAGCCGGACACACTATTCTTTTGGGCCTATTATTTAATCTTACTTTTTAAATTGAAGTATAATTGATTTACAATGTTGTGCTGTAGAGCAAAGTGACTCAGTTATACACATATAGACATTCTCTTTTTTTTAATATTGTTTTCCAACATGGTTTATCACAGGATACTGAATACAGTTCCCTTTGCTATACAGTAGGACCTTGTTGTTTATCCATCCTGTATATAATAGTTTACCTCTAGTGAATCCCAAAACTCCTAGTCCTTCCATCCCCCAACCCCCTCCTCCTTGGCAACCACAAGTCTATTCTGTATGTCTGTATGTTTCTGTTTTGTATATAGATTCATTTGTGCCATATTTCAGGTTCCTCATATAAGTGATTTCATGTGGTATTTGTCATTCTCTGATATACTTCATTTAGTATGATAATCTCTAGGTCCAGCCATGATGCTGTAAATGGCATTTTTCATTCTTTTCTATGGGTAACTTCCATTGTATATATTTCCCACATTGTCTTTATCCAGTCCTCTGTGGGTCATTTAGGTTGTTTCCACGTCCTGGCTATTGTGAATAGTGCTGCTATGACCATAGGTGTGCATGTTCAGTTCAGTTCAGTCGCTCAGTTGTGTCCGATTTTGCGACCCCCATGGACGGCAGCATGCCAGGCTTCCCTGTCCATCACCAACTCCCGGAGCTTACTCAAACTCATGTCCATGAGTCAGTGATGCCATCCAACCATCTCATCCTCTGTCAGCCCCTCCTCCTCCTGCTTTCAATCTTTCCTAGCATGTATCTTTTTGAATTAGTGTTGTCTGGGTATATGTCATTTGGGCCCCTTTAAATTGATAGTCTTCAAATATCTGTTAAACACTTAAAAAGGCTGCCACTCCTGAGTGTTTTAGGAAAATATCCTCCTTTGGAGTTCAATAACCAGCTATTCCAGCATGCCTCTGGGGATCTGGACCACATCAGCACCCTAATTAGCTCATGAATTCTTTATTTTCCCAACACATACACTATACTTCCCAGTAATAGTTCTGGTAAGTAACTGCTCTGTATTCTTACAAATAACTTACAGTGACATTTTGGTAACACTTATATTGCATTTTGGGCTTCCCTGGTGGCTCAGTGGTAAAGAACACATCTGCCAGTGCAGGAAATGCAGATTCGATTCCTCAGTCTGGAAGACGCCCTGGAGAAGGGAACACCCACTCTAGTATTCTTGCCTGTAGAATCCCATGAACCAAGGAGCCTGGTGGGATACAGTCCATGGGGTGACAGACTCAGACTCGACTGAACGGCTAAGCACACAAACTGTACTTATGAGCAGTTTTCTGGCTGCTGCACCCCTCAATCCAACTCTCCAGCGGATAATTGCTTTATGCCAGTTAACTTTCCTGAGCCATGGTTTCTCCAGCTGTGAAGTGGGGATGATGGCCTTCTCCTGAGGCTTTCCTGAAGATTATGTGATAATACACATCCACCTGGTTTGGTTCTCAGAGTTAATCTCCCTTTTCCCTGACTTCTTTATGTTCCCCCTTTTCCTCTCCTTTCCCTCTGAATTACAATCCACCATCATCATCCAGATCAAATGCCAATCCCTCTGGGAAGCCGCCTGCTATTTTCTTTTTTTAATTGGAGGATAATTGCTTTACAATATTGCACTGGTTTCTACCATACATCAATGTGAATCAGTCACAGGTATGCCTTCTGCTATTTTTCCCTGGCAAGTAATCATTTCCAGTGTTCTGCTCAGAAGGATGAGCTCTCCTCTGGGATCTGATGATTAAGTCCTAAATGTCTTAGACCTTAAAAGCCTCGGTCTCAGTCCTGGTGTCAGCACCCTGCAGGCACTCATGAGGCCCCTAGTGAGTGGAGAGTGGTTCTGCTTACTGTTCCAGAAAACTCAGAAACTCCCAAGTGAAACCTTTCCACTGCTGCAGGGGTTCCTCTAGGGCGAGTTTTGAACTCTTTGAACCCAGATAGGAGACAGTTGCTATGTTGTATTGACAAAAGGATTAACCCCCAAGAGACTCCAGACAACTTCATTTTACTGTCCTCATCACAAATTTCTGAGTCAGACAGAAATTGTCAATTTTGTGACAGTCATCATATTTTAGGTTCCCCTCTCCCATTTTGTCTCAAGTTTACTTATCTTTGGTACTAAGAACCTAACTCACACTAGTGATGTGATTCCTAATGTCTGAGGCTGAACACATTAGACTCTCATTATTGGTTGTGAGAAACTGCTTGGAGAGCTGGTTTTATTGCTTTATGTTTGAACTGAGGAACATAGAAGGGGTTAGGGAGTTGAAGTCAGAAAGCATTTTAGGCGTTTTCACCAGGTCTGGTAAACATGCAGGCACTTCGGTGAAGTAAGTGGCTGGGACCCTCTAGAACAGTGCACCCTGTGAGCAGACAGTAGGGTGTCACAAGTCATATCCAGGTTCAAGGAGAGAAACAGGCTCCACTTCCTGATGGGGAGAACCATCCAAACTGTCTTTCCCTCCAAACTGTCCTCCATATGCCGCTGAAACGAGCTTTCTAAAATACAGAACTGTCTGTGCTAATTCTCCACCAAATGTATTTTACCACACCCTACTATCTACTGTGGCTTTCTTCCACTTGTATGTGAATAGATATCTCAATGGTTGGGCTTCTCAGGTGGCGCTAGTGGTAAAGGATCCACCTGCCAATGAGGGAGACACAAGAGACTGGCTGGGAAGATCCCCTGGAGGAGGACATGGCAACCCACTCCAGTATTCTTGCGTGGAGAATTGCATGGAAAGAGGAGACTGGGGGGCTACAGTCCGTGGGGCCTCAAGGAGTCAGGCGGACTTGAGCACAGAAACAGCTCAGTGGTTACATAAACTGGAGAAATGCTGAACTAAACAAAATTAAATAGGACTTTTTATAGCAAGACTTCACCGAGATGTTGACAGTCTAACAAGGACTATACAGCTTTAAAGTGGGGGGGTTGGGGATAGCATATCTGATTAAGTTCCCTAAACTTGTCGGGTCAAGTTATTAACTTTTTAAAATAGCAGCTTGATGAACTGGTATTTCTTGGAAGATACACTGGGCATCAAATGAGTTATTCCTTAACTGTCAGAACAACAAGATGTGTGAGGCAGATTGGGTGTAATGGCTCAGAACTGGAAAGACCCACAGGGTTCTGGTTCCTCCATATCCTAGCTCTTCACTTTGGTTAAGTTACTTTTTTGTGATTTAGTTTCCATAGTTAAAAAAAGTGGGGAGGGGGAACAAATTATATACATGTGTAACATTTTGTGTTATTTAATGCCTATCATAGGATTGCTGAGAGGATTATATGAGCCACTAATAAGATACATTTTTTTCCCTGCTTCTCCCTACCCCTTAGAACTAGAGATGTAGTTAGAATGAATCATTCAAATGAATCCCAGACTTACTTATGTTTTTACTATTTCTCTGAATGACTGCCCTGAATGACTTGCCCTACTTCCTGTGAACCTAAGTCCTATTTTAAAAGACCAGCTCAATAGAAAAGCTTTTCAAAGTTTCCTTAATCCAACTCTGTGAAAAGAAAATTCATGCTTTTCCTCATTTTGGGCCCACAGTATTTTCTCTGTCATGCAGTTACAGCTTTCATTATGTTATATAACAAGTTATTAACTTCCTGCTTTTCAGGTTAGAATAAATCAGGAAGGTGGCTATTGTTTAATCCATACATTTTTTCAATGAGTTGGGGATTTTAAAAAGTAATTTTAAAAATTACAAAGAAAGTTAGATTCAGAGGAAACAATGAAAAACAAAAATATAGATACTGATATATCAGCATGTGTCAAGAGTTCTGGTAGGTCTTATAGTTTTTCATTTGAAAAAATTTTAATTTTCAGCCTCAACCTACTAGAAAACAAAAAGAAATTTAGTAAAGAATCCTCTGTACCTATAATACTTTGTAAATAAAATTCAACCATCTCAAAATTTTGCTTGTATTAACTTGATTTCCATAGTTGATAAAAACATAAAATTAAAAAAAAAGACCATTACTTGCATCTATTTGCAATTAATATCTTTAATAGAACTGAGAAAAGTGCTTAGACTGAAATTCTCATTATATTTGAAAAATGGTTTAATCTTACTGCCAATAAAAATTTTTTTTGAGGGAAAAAAATGTTAATCAAAGCAAGAAGTATAAATAAAGAGGTTATTTGTAATAGAGATAAACTGGGGGGGGGGGGGAACTTCTAAATATACATACAATAATAAGGAACCAGAGAGCAAATTGCCAACATCTGTTGGATCATCGAAAAAGCAAGGGAGTTCTAGAAAAACATCTACTTCTACTTTATTGACTATGCCAAAGCCTTTAACTGTGTGGATCACAACAAACTGGAAAATTCTTAAAGAGATGTGAATACCAGACCACTTGACCTGCCTCCTGAGAAATCTATATGAAGGTCAAGAAGCAACAAAACTGGACATGGAACAACAGACTGGTTCCAAATCGGGAAAGGAGTACATCAAGGCTGTACACTGCCACCCTGCTTATTTAACTTATATGCAGAGTACATCATGCAAAATGCTGGGCTGGATGAAGCACAAGCTGGAGTCAAGACTGCCAGGAGAAATGTCAATAACCTCAGATATGCCAATGACACCACCCTTATGGCAGAAAGTGAAGAACTAAAGAGCCTCTTGATGACAGTGAAAGAGGAGAGTGAAAAAGTGGGCTTAAAACTCAACATTCAGAAAAATAAGATCATGGCATCCCATCACTTCATGGCAAATAGATGGGAAACAGCAGAAACAGCTGACAGACTTTATTTTCCTGGACTCCAAAATCACTGCAGATGGCGACCGCAGCCATGAAATTAGAAGACGCTTGCTCCTTGGAAGAAAAGCTATGACCAACCTAGACAGTATATTAAAAAGCAGAGACATTACTTTGCCAACAAAGGTCTGTCTAGTCAAAGTTATGGTTTTTCCAGTAGTCATGTATGGATGTGAGAGTTGGACCATAAAGAAAGCTGAGCGCCGAAGAATTGATGCTTTTCAACTGTGGTATTAGTGTTGGAGAAAACTCTTGAGAGTCCCTTGGACTGTAAGGGGATCCAACCAATCAATCCTAAAGGAAATCAGTCCTGAATATTCATTGGAAGGACTGATGCTGAAGCTGAAACTCCAATACTTTGACCACCTGATGTGAAGAACCGACTCATTGGAAAAGACCTTGATGAAGGCAGGAGAAAGGGACAACAGAGGATGAGATGGTTGGACGGCATCAGCGACTCGATGGACATGAGTTTAAGTAAGCTCCAGGAGTTGGTGATGGACAGGGAAGCCTGGCGTGCTGCAGTCCATGGGGTCGAAAAGAGTTGGACACGACTGAGTGACTAAACTGAATTGAAGGAATGACTAACTAAAAAGCTTCCCTGGTGGCTCAATGCCGGAGACGAGGGCTTTATCCCTGGGTTGGGAGATCCCCTGGAGAAGGAAATGGCAACCGACTCCAGTATTCTTGCCTGGGAAATCCCATGGACTGAGGAGCCTGGTGGGCTACAGTCCATGGGGTTGCAAAAGAGTTGGTCACAACTTAGCGACTAAACAACAAATTAAATTAAGGTTTATCCCTATGAAACCATTTAAAAGGCTATATACCTAGTTCTAATCAATATGGATAAATGTTTAAATTACAAGTTTCAGAAGGATATGTTCATTACCTAACTTGTTTTCAGTTTTATTCCCAGGGCAGAGTATACATCCTAGCAGATAGACTTTTTTTTAATGAAAAAATTAGTCAAGACTTTTTTAAGAGAAGTTTTAGGCTCACAGCAAACTTGAAGGTAAGATACAGAGAGTTCCCATAGACTCCCTGCCCCACACATCCACAGTCTCCCCATGATCAGCATCCCCCACTGGATGGTACATGTGTTACAACTGGTGAACCTCCACTGACACACCATCATCACCCGAAGTCCACACTTTCCATTAGGTTCACTCCTGGTCTTGTACAGTCTGTGGGTTTGGAGAAAAGTATGACAACCCACTCCACTATTCTTGCCTGGAATATTCCATGGACCGAGGAGCCTGTCGGGCCACAGTCCCTGGGGTTGCAAAAAGTCAGACACGACTTAGTGAATAAGCATGCATATAATGACATGTATCCATCATTATAGTATCAGAGTATTTTCACTGCCCTAAGAATCCTCTGTGCTCTGTCTATACATCCTTTCTCCCATCCCAGCCCCTGATCCCCACTTTTTACTCTCTCCACAGTTTTGCCTTTTCTTGATTTTCACATAGGTGGAGTCATACAGAACAAAGCCTTTTCAGATTGGCTTCTTTCATTTCATAATATGCATGTAAGATTGTTTCTTCTCATGGCTTGACAGCTCATGTCTTTTTAGCTCTAATATTCCACTGTCTGAATGGACCACAGTCTATCCACACACCTACTGAAGGACATCTTGGTTATTTTCATGTTTTGGCAATTACGAATAAAGCTGCCATAAACATCCGGGTGTAGGTTTTTGGGTGAACATGTTTTCACTTTCTTTGGATAAATACCAAGGAGGGTTATTGCTGATAAGTGTATGTTTAGGTTTGTAAGAGATTACCAAACTAACTTCCTCACAAAGTGACTGCACCATTTTGTGTTCCCATCAACAGTGACTGAGAATTCCTTTGCTCCACATCCTCACCAGCATTTAGTGATGTTAGTGTTCTGGCTTTTGGCCATATATTATTATTATTATTTAATCTCTTGGCCGTGCTGTTTGGCATGTGGGACCTGAGCTCCTTGACCAGAGGTGGAACCGGTACCCCCTACATTGGCAGCCTGTAGTCTTAACCACTGGACTGCCAGGGAAGTTCCCTGCCCCTTTTAACAGTAATTATTACACATAAGTTTTTAATAAATATTTAAGAAATTAATGACAAAGTAATATTCTGTGATAAATCGTATAAACATGCTTATTGAGAAAAATCTGTATAGAAAAAGAACTGGTATGAAACACAACCAAATGGGAAAAGAGCTCATTGGGCATGTTACAACCAGCTTTATTGCGGTATGGTTTTTACATACCATCAAATTCACCCACTGTATATGTACAGTTTAGTTATTTCATTTATACAGCTTTGCAATTATCACCATAATCCAGCATAATGGTCAATTTCTGTTTTCTCATCCCATCTTTTCTGTACGGTAAAGGAGGATTTATTCTTTGAACGGTCCCTTCAGTGAAAGCTGGGTCGAGTTGAACGCTAAAACGACCTGTAAGATTACTTTCTAGTCTAATGGGCTCTCCCCTCGGTCTGACATGTACATGTTTCTAGCACAGAATGAAGAGTTGAGCAGTCATGACACGGCCTAGATTCTGTTCGGTCGTTATTCTCGGCCCTCCTGTGAATGAAAAGGTTCCACAGAATACTGATTACAGCCACAGTTCCCAGCGCAGATGTGGGTATTTTTCGGAAGCAAATGGGAGCAGTTCTCTCGTGCTCTCCAATCGCGGCAGCGGGGAGCCGGGCTCACACGCGGCCCACGTGCCCCCACCCCGGGAAGCCGTACCGGATGGGATCACGCATTCACGGCCCTGGGAAGGGTCCTTCAGTGTGTTCATTCGCCTGGCGGCTACGACAGAAACCTCTTCGGTAAGAAGCCAACTGAAACAGGCCGGCGCCTGAATTATCTCCGCCGCCCCGAGTCCCCGCGCCCCGCCTACAGCCTCCTACCTGCGGAGAAGCAGAGCAGGAACACCTGGTGCCGCAGGCGGGTCAAGCCTAGAATAGTGGGAGCAAAGAACATGGCTTCATCGTCGGGGTGCGCCGTCACCAGAAGTGTCCGGCTTCCGCCTCCGGGCAGGCCAGCCTGCTCCGGCCTCGTCACTCGCTCCCAGGAGCCCCAAACCCAGAGGACGCCCCATACCAGGACAGTCGCCGCCAGACACAGAAGCGGCACCGCCACTTCCATGCCCCCAGAAGAGAAACTGCGCCTGCGCAGACCGGGAGGCTGCCGCCGGGCCGACTCCGGCGGGAAAACCGAGCTCGCGGAAACCCCGTTCCGAGTGTAAGTCCGTCCTGCTGGCCTCTCCAACGGCCGGAGGCTTTAAGCGTAGGGCTGTGTGCTCGGACACGGACGCCTCCCAGGCCCTCTTCACGGGCTCTCGCTACTTTAAGCGGCCTTTACGAGCTCTCGTGCCTGCTTCGCTTTAGAGCTGAGCGACCCTCTTGCTGTCCACACAGTACCTAAGGGGAAGCGTCTGAAAAGAACCCCCAACCTCTTGAGTGCGAATTCTCTTCACGTCACCTTTTTATCACTCGTTTCTTTAAAACCCAGGCTTTCTCGTAACTATCCGGGTGGACACCGACTGGGTTTCTACTCCCTAATTGTGGGATGTGGAGTGGCGGCTTCTCTAAAGCAACAGTATGCGGTGGCGAGGCCCGTCCGGTCAGTTCCTTGGAAGCGTGAGGCCGAGAGCACACTTGGCGGGCGCGGGGGCCCGGGATCCTTGGAGGGAGGGCTGGCATCACGGGAGGGTCGGCCGCGCGCGGAGTTTCAGGGAGGCCCGCTGCGAACGCAGCCCGAGCCCGGGAAGCAGCGGGTGGGTGGCCGCGCGCCCCCGGCAGCGCGAGCTCGAAGGCCCGCGTCCTTTCCTTTCCCACGCCCGCGGGGAGACCCGGGCGCGATGGCTCCGCGCTGGGGCCGCCGCCGCTGCCGGACCGAGGCGGGATGCCAGTGGCCCGGACGCGGGCAACCCGGGAAGCTCGGCCAGCGGAGGGAGTCGGCCTGCCAGCCTCCGGAAGGAGGAGGAGCCGGCGCCGGAGCCGCCTCAGCCGCGGTCGCCGGGCCGGGGGGGAGGAGAGGGGTTGAGTCAAGATGGCGGTCGAGGTGGCGAAGCAGCGGCGACGGCGGCGGCGGCTGGAGTGAGCGCCCGGCTCGCCGCGCCGACCAGGGCCCGGGCAGGGCCACGCGCGGGGCTGCGTCCTGCCCCTCAGGCCCGGGGCCGCGCCGGCCGCCGCGCTCCGCCCGCTCCCGGTGAGTGTAGGCCTGGCGCCCGCAGCCCGGCCTTCGGGCCGCCGCTCACTTGGGGCCGCCGAGGACTTCGGGGGCGCCCGCCGCCGGGGCGCCTTCCCGGCCGGCGAGGGACGTCGCGGGGCCGGTGTCTTGGGACCCGCCCAACCAGGGGCTTCTTGTCCTCAGCGGCCGGGCGAGCGGGGCGCGGCGGGGAGCGGGGCCGGGCGAGTGGGGGAGGCTGCTGGAGTTTGGAGGAAGAATGGGCTGCGGCCGGGCCGGGGCGCCCGGAGTGTCCTGCGGGGAGGGGGCTGCGGGGCCCGAGGCGGCGCGGGCCGGGGCGGCGGGTGGGGCCGGCGCAGGTGGCGGCCCGCGCTTCCTCCGGGGCGGAGTTGGTGGCTGCCCGCGAGTGTGCAAGGGGTCAGGGTGGGTGACAGCGGTGGACAAGTGCGTGAAGAGCAAACTAGTTCACCTTTGCGACCAAGCCGCTTGGGGTGTAATGGCGAAGGGAGGGCGGGGGAGACGGCGGAGATGGGAACCCGGTACCTTCTGGCTTTTACCGTGGCTGTTTAACGTGGATTCTCTTTTGGAGGGGAGAGGGATTCAAGAAACTATCATTGAGAGGTCAGTCTTAGTGGCCAGGAGACAGAATTCTTTGAATTAACCGGATTAGGGGTATAGTCGTATATTAAAGGTGTGAGTGGGCATAAGTGACATTTAGTAAAAGTATTTGCTCACAAAGTGTCAGTTTTCTTTTCACCGATGTTGCAGGCTCCAGTCCCGCTTCTACAGAGTTAACCATGGTTTGGCGGTGTGGGTAATTCTAATCTTTGGGATTAGCATTTTCACCTGCATCAGATTTGCTTCCCTAATTAGATCCTAATTGTACTGAAATTTACATGCCTTGCGTGCACCCTGGTGAGGCAGTGATGGGAGGCAGAACGTAGCGTAGAGAGCAACAGGCCAGGGATTTTTAAATGCCTGCAAATAATTCATTCATTCGTTCAGCATGTCTTGATCAATAGCTGCTGCTGATGCGTCACACGTGACTCTCCCTTGGATAGCTGAAGAGTTGATGGCATTATTTAATTTTTAATAGTTTTCGAAAATGTGATGTATCCTTAAAGATAATTATTGGCAGAACCAACGTGCCTGGTCTCAGGAGCAGACCAATTTTAGAATATTATTTAGACATGGGTAAAAATTACGGAAGAAATCTTATTATTTCACAAGTTGTTGCAGAAAGAGGTACTGTTTTTATTTGCTTATTCTGTTAAAATCCAGTGGAAGTTTGTTTTAATATTTATAGTACACAGTTGCTTTGCTGTGCTTTAAGCACACCTGTTAATGGAAATCAAGGTTAACACACACATGTATATAAATAATATGCACATACATACATAAGGATATGATTACTTGGAATACGAAAATACTCTTTCCTTTTATGAAAGTCTTGCCATATGTTGAACTCCTCCCCCAGAGAAAATATAATACAAAGAGTCCTGATTTGTCTTTAACTGTGTCATTTTGGAACAGGATCAACCTTTCTCTGCTTCAGTTTCCTCATCTATGCTAGTAGGAAAATATCCGCTCTTCTAGGTTGCTGTTGTGAGCCTAGGAGAGTTAATAGTTATGAAATTGCTTTACAAAGATAAAAAAGGTTATATTTCTGTGTGAGAGTAACAGCTCCCTCTTCATTTCTGAAATGCTTTATCTGTGCATCTCTTAATGGCATTTATTCTTTCTGCCTTGCATTTAGGTACCTACTTGTCTTATCTCCTCTTGAGGACAGGAGAAGCCCTTCTCTGACTTTAAGGCACTGCCAGAGGGTATTGACATTGCAAATGTTTACTGAGTGGATGAACATTGTATTCTAATTAGAAAATTGTGTTCACAGTTACAACTTATGGAGTACACCTGCTGATCTGCTGTCACAGGTCTCTGTAGCTGTGATTCTCTTCATGACTTCTGAGGAATAAATATTTTTAACTCGTTGTCTTGCGGGACTTCATCATCATATAGTAAAACGTAAGAGTTTGGCCTGCCCGCCTATTTTTTTGAAAAAGCGTAGAGTGCTAAAAATTAGCTATCTTTCTTTGAATTTAATTGAGTAAAATTTGTTCCAAGGCTAAGTAAGTACAGATTAATCAAGTTTTTCTAAGCTTTTTTTTTCTTCTAAATTTTGTGGATTGGAGAGTTTGTTTTGCCATTTCTATCTTCAGGAGAAAGTAGGGGCTTTTAAATAAGCCAGGGATTGATGAAGGTTAATGTCAGGCTATTTCTTACTCAGTTTTTTTTGTGTTTGTTACTCAGTTTTAATTGTATTTTGTAATGTCTTAATTGAAATTTCAAATTCTTAACTGATGTTTGAGGATGATAGCAATCTCGAATACTTAGTTATTTCCATGTGTCCATTTACTTCAGAGATTGGGTTTTACTGGAACATGGTACAAAGTAGTAGTAAAGGTTGGTCAGAATTTATTATGTATGGACTTATCTTGTGGTGTGTCATTCATTCACTTGTTCAGCTGGTGTGGCGTGCCTCATGTTCAGGGCATGTTGCTAAGTGCTATAGAAGTATAAAGTTGACCTGATCAGTTATGTGCACAAAGAACTCAGTCTATAGATTGTCTGATACTTTGTCCTTTTCAGGTTTCAGGATGCAAAAGTACATTCAGAGAGAAGGTTAAGAAAACATTGTTTTTCTCTCAGAACTTCTTAGGAGTATTGAAAAGCTACCAGAACTTCTGTCATGTAGCAATAACTGTATGTAGAACATCTGTTTTTTATTTTGGTATTCTTGTGGTGGTGGTTTTCCTTGAATATTTTTACTCTTCTACCATTTTTTTCTATCCCAGAAGCTTGTGTGGTCAAAATATTACTTGGATATATCTTGGATTGTTTTCAGATACAACATACTTTTTTGGGGGAAAGGGGATTTCCTCTTTGAATGTGAAAATGAGAGCATACAAAGCCATGAGAGTGTTGGGGGGGGGTGTTCTTCAGGTTTACTCTTTTTTTTTTTTTCACGTTTACTCTTTATGTGTGCTGCTGTTATGGTCACTTGATAGTAATCTCAAAGACAAATCTAAGTTGGTTAAAACAAAATGCTCATTATTTATAGAATTATAAAGCATAGAGTCATGTAGGTTAACCAGTTGTGTTTTACTGGTGAGTATACTGAAGGTCAGTGAATCAAACAGATCTGGCCTGAACTGTTGCTATTGGCCAGCAGCAGAATCCAGTCCTTGGCTGTCCAGAGTAGCTCCTGCTGTCACACTGTATCATCAGGGGATGATTCAGTGTGATGGTTGATACAACTGAAAACAAAAATTAGGGGGTGGGCTGGGGAATGAGCCGTCAGTCACTCAGCTGAGATATTGAATTGAAAATATAGTTTGAAAAAAGTTGGTATTGATCTATATCAATAATATGATCACTGGGAATTACTAGTTTCATTTTTAATCTGTTATGATAAATATCTTCTTAAACAAAAATGCCTTTAAGGTTATCTGGACCTACTGACATTTCATGGAATTTAAGTGTTAAAGTGATGTAAATTTTATTATGCCAGTGGTTTAGAGACACAGTTTGATAGGTTAGGTTATGTATCAGTTATTGCTTGCTTTACTTTCAAACTGCTACTTTTTTTAAGTATGAGAAGCTTCAGTTATTAATATGAAAATGTAGGTAAATAGTGTGAACATGAACTGTCCTTTTAAATGTCCTGTTGAAAAGCTTCATATATAATGTTAGTTTTCTTTTTTTTTTAATGTTAGTTTTCTATAGGTACTCATAAAATTTATTTGAAAAAAAAAGGCATAGTTTTCTTTTTAAACTAATGTCCTCACATGAATACTGAAGCATGATGTGTGTGTATGTGTGTGTTTTAAATTCCATTTGGGTTGTTAAATAATGTGCCTATTTTGGGTTGCATTAAGAAGGGTTGTTTTTTTCCC